GGAGAAGATTATGTAAGCTAAAGGTAAAGGAAAGGTTGGATAAGAGAAGAAAACAGTACAAGATGGTGAAGATGCTGCTCCAGCAAGTGAGAATTCTTCTGTTCCTCCCCCTTATGAACCCAAACTTCCATTCCCTGGTAGATTTAAGAAGCAACTGCTAGAGAAGTACAAGGCTCTGTTTGAGAAGAAAATGAGTGAAGCTCAGGTTGTAATGCCCATCACTGATGCTTTCATGTTGATTCCTCAATACAACAAGTTCCTGAAAGATGTTGTAGCTGCAAAGAGGAAGGAGATGGAAGGCATGATGATTCTTACCCATGAGTGCAGTGCCATCATCCAGAGGCCTGATGTTCCAGAGAAGTTAAATGATCCATGATGCTTCACACTGCCTTGTGCTCTTGGACCTATGGTATTTGAGAAATGTCTCTGCGATTTGGGAGCTAGTGTCAGCTTGATGCATTTGTCTGTTGTAAAGATGCTTGGATTCACTCAGTACAAGAAGTGTAGACTCTCTCTGGTGTTAGTTGATCGTTCAGTGAAGTACCATGTGGGCATCTTAGAGGGCCTCCTTGTGAAGATTAGAAGGTATGAGATACCTACAGACTTTGTGATGCTTGAGATGGGTGAGGAGGCTCAAGACCCATTGATTCTAGGAAGGTCATTCTTAGCTACAGCAGGAGCTATTATTAATGTGAAGGAAGGCAAGATTGCTTATCTATTTCTCTACATGATTAATCTGAAATCCAATATGAGTTTAAGAGGAATCATGGAGATTAGTGAGTAATCACCTTTTGAATTCATGGGTTAGGGAGATTAAGGGTGATTAGGTTAGTTCTAGGTTGTTTTAGTGTAGATCATTCTTGTTCCTTGCTAGTAGAGTATTCATAATGCATTTTCTGAGTTGGCCACTCAAAAGTTGATCAATAGGCATTTCCCACCTAAAAGGTGTTTGATGAAATGCCTGAGACAACTCTCCTAAGCTTTTAGTATACTTTGCCAAAGACATTTGTTGTTAAAGGTGCTAAGATAACTAATAGACTTGTTAGTAATGATTGATTTTATATTATTCAACCAAAGACATTTGATGCTTGAGATATGTTAGCAAATGAGCATTCATCTAGACATAGAGCTTGTTCAGAATTGTGTCTAGACTTAAGGTCGATAGTTTGATTGATCATTTGCCATCCTTAGTTCGAAACTTGATCACCCAAGGTCTAATCCCTACTTCCATGGGTTCTCCTTTATCATAATCAAGGAAGTTATTTAGTTATCGCTTTTGTTATTTCTTAGTTATAGTTTAAAACCATTATTATTTCGATTGCACTTAGATTAAGTGAGTATTTGCATTCTCAGTACTTAAAAACCCCTTAGAGTTGGTTCGACAATCTCATATACTACAACATTTGTCTTAGGAGCCTTGAAAACTCTTAACTTCACAATCCTTATATTATTATTACTGTTCAAGTATTTATATTATTTGCGAAGTCAGTTTCCTACATGTCATCTTCTCATCAATTCTAACAATGAAATCTATAATATTATTTCAGAAGTTAGATTGTTGCGTATCACCTTCACATTGATTCTAAAAACGGTTAGTGACAGCAGTACCCTAATTAATCAAATATATCTAATTGACATTATTACAAAAATATTTATTTAATCAGGTTTTCTTTTTATTTATATTTTTGAAAATAAATTATATAACAAAGAACATTGATAAATTTTAAAAATGAAAATATTTTTATATAATCTGATTTATAAAAAGGAAATTTCAAAAAAAAAAATATAGTCTTGATTTTAAAGTAAAGAAACAATCTTACACTTAAAAAGAAAATTTTAAAAAATATAATATATATTTTAAAATTCATAAGTATTTTATTTATATCATACATCAATCTATTTCTAAAATTATTACAACCTATAATGAAAATAACATAAACTAGAATATCTTTAATGAATTAAAAACTATTTTCTTTTTCTTTTTAATTTTAAGTTTTCATTTTTGTACTTTCCAAATAACCTATATAATAAAGAAAACATTTATAAAATTAAAAAATTACTATATGTAATAAAGAAAACAACTCCTTTCACAACATATTATTAAAAAGCAAACATCTAGGCTTACACTTCTCCATTTGGATCTATTACATATATGGGTTATCTTTTACTAATTTACCACCCTTGTTAACCAAAGTGGGCATTTTCACTCTCAATATTGTATCCACACCTAAAGCCCTTATCTATCTTTCAGACCATTGATACTTTCTTGAGTGAGGCCTCTTGTTCTTGAGATAATGCTAACATATGCAACATCTTGACTGAATGAGAACGAAACTAATTAGCTCCCACTATGGTAGTCTAGGAGTTCATCAATGGCTAGCATTAGGGGAAATAACTCGTGATGAGGATTTGGGATTGGTATGAGAGAAATAAAAGAGTGAAATGGAAAATGAAGAAAATGGTGTGAGAAAAGTCTTGTGTGGTCATTTGAAAGGGGACTTGGGAAGTAAATAAATGAATGAGAAAGTTCTAAGTAAAGGTGAAATGAAAATCATCTTCATGAAAGAAAAAGAACATAAACATGAAAGAGACGACAGAAAGAGCTATCACTGAAAACAAAAAGAAACTTCCAGATAACCTAAGTTGTATTTAAGAGTTAAATTTGTACATCACAATGTTTTTGAGAGAATATGGTTTGGAAAAGTGATAAAAGATGTGTGAGTTGAGTTGATTTAAGAGTAGAATGCAATCTTGGAAGGGGAGACAATGAGAAATGTAGTTATATGCATAAGTTGTTCTTGTCTAAGAAAAATTATGCATTATATTTAGCATTCTAATCTTGAGAGTTAAACCACCTCAATCAAACACGTTAAATCATTACTTACCAAGTCAATTGATTGAGATCAAGTTCTGATTTGTGAGCTACTCTTCGAGATATAATAACTGAATGTGGGAGTTGTTTGATGGTGAAGTTTGTTAATTCTTGTTATTGTGTGTTGAGAAAAAGATCTGGATTAGAGAGAAGCCTTCAAATTTAGAGTGAAATAAAGAGTTTGGTCTTGTTATTTTTTAATGTTCCCTAGGGACATCATGTTGAACGTTTTGTTGGCTTTTTGTAAGAATTCATTCAAAGTCTTTTCGTGACACAAATATGAAAATAAGAAAAATCAAGCGAATAATACATAGATCCACTGAGAGTTTGTATTTACCTCCTTCAATCATCCGGAACTTCGACTTCGGCTGAGTGAAAGATACCCAACTGTTAATAATCACCAAATTTGAAGAAAAGTGAAAATTTGATTATCAACAAAAATAAAATAAAAAATTAGAGTTTTTGGACAAAATTAGTGGGAAATGGAAGATAATGGTGTTGTGTGTTTAAGGAATGAGAGAAGACGAAGTAAATTTCGATCTATAAAGCCATTAGAGCTTAATATTTTGTTGTTCATAATTGTTGACAAAATTGATAAGTGTGATTTTCATAAATAAATGAAGATGATAAAGTTGTTTGATATATTTCTAGAATTCTAAAATAAATATATAGTGGTATTTCAGTAAACAGTTTGATATGTTAGGGATGAGCATGCAAAAATACGGTGAAGTGAAAAATTGGTTACTTTTGTATTTGGCCAAGAATTTTGGATGGTTTTACAAGAAAGTCTAATATTGTCTTAGAAATAAGGTATCCGTTAGGTTCTTGATTGGGTTTCGGTTCGATTTTGTTAACACCAGTTCGGTTTCAAACTTTTGGTTCAGTTTTTGATTCTCAGTTTCATTGTCCAGGGCTAGGCAATGTAATATTGTCTTTTATTTTAGGATCTCTACTAATATTGGCTTTTATTTTATATCTCAAGTCAATGGTCTTTTAGTTTTGGCGTTTTTAGTGATCATTTTAAAACAAAACAAGAGGTATTCTATGGCCCATAGGAAGAAAACTGAAGGACTCAAGAATTTACTTCGAAGGTGATAAGTTGACTTGACTTTATAAGTACACCACGTATAGAACGTTCCAATTCACGAAGATTATATTGTCTGCATTCAGGACTGATTCAAATCATACAAAAATAACTTTTTGATATAAAATGCTTATAGATAAATTTATTATTTTCTTGTGCATATTATGCATCTCTAAGCCTCCAAGTCTCTAAGACCAGATTGATTGTACATATATATTAGAAGAAAAAATCATAATTTTGACAATAGTTATAAATAATAATTTTCATAATTGTGACTAAAATTTTGTTTTGAAGTTTCTAATGCAAGAGCCAAACTTTGGAAGAAAAAAACGAATCTAAGAAATTATGCAAATTGGTTTGTTAAAAATGTATATATTTTTTGAAATTTTAAAAATGTTTATTATGTAAGCAGTTCTTTTTCAGCTGTCATATTTAATTGGAAGAAATATGATAAAAAGGATATTTTCCTAAATTTCATGTAAATTAAATTACACATCTAGAAACTATAATGCTATATGACTATTACAAAACATAACTGAGGGAAGATTATGGGAGAGTATGCAAAGAAAAATGTCTTGGTTCCTCATTTTTTTGTCAACATGTAAAGAAATGATATGAGATGGAAAATTGGAATGTTTTATTTATATATATTTCAACACTTTTATGTATTATTCAATAAAAAAAAATATCTTCGGAACGACCAAAGATCAGGACATGAAGCTTAAGCCTGTTTTATAATCATCGATATCTCCATCACACAAGTTCAAATCCAATATAAGTAATGCTACTGAAAAAATATCATCGCAGCTAACTGTTATATTCTTAATAAACAACAATATGAAGAAAGTAAGAATTAACCATTTGAATTAATCAGAAATAATTAAATCGCTAAAAACAGAACAAGACGCGTTGCGTTTGAATGCTTCAAAAGAAAAGATAAATTGTTTTAACGAAAATACAAAGAAAAAACAAGTGATGAAGTCAACCGCCGCGACCCACCCAGTAATCTATAAAAGAAGAAACAGATTCCCAAACTTGTTTCTCATTCACCATTCTTCAACTCAATTCGAAGGGGAGAGAGAAAGAGAGAAAAGGATGGAATCTCAGAAACAAGAAAGCGGAGTGAAGAAGATGAAGAGAGTCACTAAGATCATAGCCTTGGCTTCCATTTTCTCTTTTGTTCTATCTTACTCTTCTTTAGTCTCTTCTCTTCAACAAAACCTCCATTTGCTTTCCATGTATATCAACCTTGTGGACAAGAAATACATATTCTTGTTATGCAATGGTATTGTAGGTTTTATCATGGGCAATTTCAAAACCCTTTTGCACGGGAATGCCATTAACATCGTTGAAGAAACGGAAGAAGTAAGGATCAACGACATGAGAAAATCAGAAATGAAGAAAGTAGTAGCTCTACTTGAAGAACAGCACGTATCCAAAGAAGAAGAAGACTTAGTGACACTACATGAAAAACAGTGTGTATCCAAAGAAGGAGAAGAGATGGCTGGTTTATTGAGAGGAGAAGAAGAAGTGACAATGGTCGTTGAGGATGACGATAGAGGTAAAGACCTCACTGTCATTAGAAACGATGATGAGATAAACGATAACTTGTTAAGTTTGGAAGATTTAAACAAGAAATGTGAGGAGTTTATCAGAAGAATGAAGGCGGGGATTCGAATGGAGTCCCGGATGTTATTGACTTCTTAGATAATGAGATTGTTTTAAGAGTATGTTTATTATCTTAGCTTTAGTATCACATTCTGCTAGAGAATTTTATAGTTCTCTTTTTTTTGGTTGAATAGAATCAGTATTTTGGTGCCCATTTTATTCTAAAGTAACTTTAATCACTGCAACAGAATGAAACAAAAAACAAAGAACCCAAACCAAAATAAGAACATAATAGTTGTAAAGTATCCAACAATAATATGTTTTACCACCTGTATCTTCCGTAAACTCAGAAGTCATACGTCTCAAATTGACAATACAAGCCAGAAAAGGTAAAGAAAAAACCAAACAAACACCTTAGATCCTGTCAATATCCTCGTCTTCAAACTCAACATAGTCATCAACATCAATACCATCATCTTCCTCAAGATCACCAACGATACCTTCGTTGAGACGAGTATTCTCAGGAAGCTCACCATAGGCCTTGAGAAGCCTCGCCTCATCGGACATGTACTTGAGGATGACATCAGCCTTGTCGTCCTGGTAGTCTCTCAGACCAACAAGTATGATGTCACCAGCTGCAATCCAAACCTTCTTGTGCATCTTACCACGGATGTGGCAGAGACGTTTGGTGCCGTCGATGCACATGCACTCACATCTTCCGTTGCCGAGCATACGAAGGACTTGTGCGTATTCTTGTCCGTCTTCCTTGAATATAAGCTCACGCTTCTCGTCGTCGGCTTCGTTCTTTCCTCTCTTCCTGTTCTTTCCTCCCTTTCCCTTGTTCTTCGGCATGGTAACTATCGAAACAATAGACAAATGATTCAGTTCAAGCTTCTGTCTTAAAAAAATGCAAAAACAAAAACTCTTGTCGGTTAATACAAAACCAGATACCTAAACATCAATTAGACAAGAATCTAAACCAAAATTAAACACCAACGCGATAAGCTGATTCAATCACTCAACAGTAATAATCAAAAGCTCAGGCTATTCCTAAAGATGCGAATCTAGGGTTTCCGAACATAAACGTATTTAGCGATATTTGAAGATAAAAATCAAGACTTTACACGAATCAAACCAAGAGGAAGCAATTTATGATTAATAATTGAATCGATTGAAGATACATAGACCTTAGCGGCCGATTCAATTACTGATTATTAACGATGGGAAACCCTAAATCTAAAGGTCAGAGACGAACTGAATAAAATAGAAAACGAGACTTACCGGTAAGCTAAAAGAAAACTCCTTGGATGGGGATGAGATGAGATTCGCAGGTTCCTCTTTAGATCAACGTTTTTTCTGAAGCTGTGCGGCTGCGAAATACTTTTTATCGATCTCTCTAGACGTGTGGTGGTTGTTATATAGAACACGTCTTTGGTTTAGGTTTTAATTACCAAACCATGCCATTCATTTCTCGATTCTCTCAGTTTAACACACGGTCCGAATTGACACCGGTTCAGTTCGGTTTGGTTATTACCGATCTGTAAGTGATTCGGTTATACAGGAAAAAAGAAACAAAATGACTAGGTGTTTGCTACACCATATCAATAATAAAAAAATATTATTTTTACAAAAATTTAATATAAATTTGATTTAATTTAATATAATAAAATTAAGATAAAATAAATAATTTTGTAAATTTTAAATTATATTTATATATATATATATATATATATATTGTTATCTATTTCTTTTGGATGAAATATATTAAAACTAATAAAAAATTGATATAAAAGTCGTATAATTATCAGAAAGTACAACTAAAAAATATGTCTAAAATTTTTTGATATATAATAGAAACTAATAATATTACGATTAAACTGTCTAATTCTAAAACATAAATTAAACAAATTGAAAATCCTTTTTATTAATAAAATTTTATAAATCATTAAAATTAAAAATAAAGAAATATTTCAAAATTTTTAATATCTTATTATATTTCTCTTATTAGATTATTTAGTATTAAATTTGAATTATTTATTTACTATAATGATGATCTATAATTTATTACTATATTCTAATTTTTTTACCAAAAAAAAATAGTAAATGTAATTGTTTATATCATATTTATCCATTAATCATGTTAAAATTTCTATATGCCATGTCATATTTATTTAGTAAAAGTAATTATAAAAATGACATATGTCACTCTGCAAATAATGTCTAGAGGATGTAAAAAATATTTTCAACCCCAAAATGTATTTAAAAACTCGGATTTTGAATATTTTTTTTACTTACTACAAAATTTGGTCCAATCTCCATTATTTAATTTTGTAATTCGTAACTTTAATGTTTATATTAACTTTAATAAAATTAAGTGTTGATATATCAAAAATTTACAAAATTAATTTTAATTTAAAGTTCTAAATATATAAAATAGCAGATTTAAGTATGGGTTTGGGTTAGGATTGAAGAATTTTGGTTGGTTTTTGATTATTTTGGTTATTTATTACAAAATTTGGTCCAATCTTCATTAGTTAATTTTGCAATTCGTAGTTTTAATATTTGCTAGTGGTATGTGCGCATAAGCGCGGAAAGTATTGATTATTTGATTCTATGTGATGTATATTTGTGATTGTCTTTGGTTGGCTGTTTTCATGTGTAGAGAATAATGTGTTGTTATGTAAATGAGGATATGAAAGATTTGTATTTTTCATGATCTATTTGCTGCAGTTAGCTGTTAACATGTGAAACTGTCATTTAGGTTTTGACTTGATATATAATGTAGTTAGAAATTTCTTGTTTAAGAGTTGGTCTTTGTATTAAGATTACATCTTCGTGAATTTTGTTTATATTAGAAAAGATGATTATTCATCATGTGGGACACATGTCACAGGAGTGACCATTCTCATCACTTATTCACATGTCCTCATCTCTTTCCTAGTCATCTATTACTACTTTACACTTGTCTTTATTTAGTGTAAAGAAAACATGACTAAGGTATTAATGGTTATACTATAAATAGTACATAAATATGAAATAAAAAGGACAAAACAAGTTTCATAATCTCTCTCGTAACACAACACACACACACAAAACATACCACTCTCTCTCTCACGTCCCACCATCTCTCTTTTACTTTGTATTATTATAACCATAAAATCTTACAATAAATAAGTACTATCTCACCTCTTTATTTTATAATACGTTATCAGCACGCAGCTCTAATCCTATATCAAACAAGGTTATACCGGTGAGGTAATGGTTAGTTTATGTATTTCAATAATTTTTATTATTGTAATTTTATTATTGTTTCGGAATGAGAGGCTAGACCTTCTCTGTTTATTTTTCGGGATGACAAGCGTTGCCTTCCCCGACTGATTGTTAAGAAAGGCTATGCCTTCACGATCAGACGAACACATTGTAGGCTTAGCCTCCGTGAATAAAAAGAAAAGATCAAAATGGATGACTATATCACCTAGGATCTTGATAAAAAGAAAAGGTCAAAAATGGTAGACTAAGTCTCCTCGGACCTTGAATCAAAAGAAAAGGTTAGTATGGTAGACTATGTCTCCTCAAACCTTGATAAAAGTTATGCAATTTATTTTTGCTTTTATTTTATGTCTCCTCAAACCTCGGATCATTTGGAAGGCTAAGCCTCCAGTTTTATTTATGTTCTTTAAATACTGCAATTTAAATATATGCAATTTATTTTTGCTTTTATTTTATGCTTTTAATTTCTTCATTTAAATTCCCGTCTTTCTTATATTTTTATATTATTATTCTATGAATACATTTATCATGTCGAATTTGACAAAACTCGAAATAACTGCCCTTGATATTACGAGAAATAATTATATGACCTGGGCAGTGGGTGCAAAGATGCACCTGAGAGGAAACGTGCTATTGGAAACCATCGATAATACAAAATTGGTGTCGGATGAGAAAAAGGCTAAAGCCATGATATTTTTACGACACCATATACATGATGGTTTAAAAGATGAATATATCACGAAAAAGGATCCTGGAGACCTCTGCAAATCTCTAAAAGAGATGTTTGATCACCAGAAGTATGTGATCTTACCAAAAGCTAAACACGAGCGGATCCATATCCGGTTCCAGGACTACAAAAGTGTTAGTGAGTATAATTCCGCAATGTTCAAAATTACCTCTAAGATGATGTTATGTGGAGCGAATATAAGCGATTATGATATGATCAAAAAAACTCTCTCCACGTTCCATCGTGGAAACGTAGTCCTGCAGAAACAATACCGGGCGAGTGGATATACCCGTTACTTGGAGTTGATGCAAGTCCTCCTTGTAGCGGAGCAGAATAATCAACTCGTGACTTTCAACCATCAGGCTCGTCCCACTGGATCTGCTCCACTCCCTGAAGCGAATGTTGCATCATCCAGTTATGATAATTGGAGAGGACGAGGTCGTGGACGTGGTCGAAATCATGGTCGTGGAAGAGGACGAGGAAGAAGATTCCGTCCATATGATAAAAGAAATACTCCCCCCCGTTTCTTAATATATGATGTTTTGGGTTAGTGCACAAAAATTAAGAAATTTACATTATTCTAAAAGTACTTTAAAAGATATAATATTATAATCATTCAACCAATTAAAAAAAAACTGTAAAATTTTATTGTTTGAACAGTTTCCCATAAAGTTAAAGAACCTTAAAACCTCAAAAGATACCTTAAACTTCAAAACATCATATATTTTGAAAAAATTTAAACCTTCTAAAACATCATATAATTTGAAACGGAGGGAGTAATAAAGATTTCCACGAAAATGAAAAAGGTGAAAGGGGTCGGGATGATAAAAAGCAAACATGAGTTTGCTACAGATGCGATATGAAAGGGCATTGAGCACATGTTTGCCGTACGCCAAAACATTTAGCCGATCTGTATAAAGAATCTCAAAAGAGAAAAGAGAAAGGAGGTGAAACAAACTTCATCTCTGATGAACCCGGACCATCCTTTCATGGTTTAAATGATGATACTCATCTCGACGTATCAGATTTTCTGGTTGAGCCAGAAAATATCAATGAGTAAAATAAGATCAATGTGATATAAGTTTACTGTATTATAGTATCTATATATTTTTGTTGTAAGATATATGTTATATTTCTTGTTTAATAATGCATGTTTTAGGTTATGTGATATAAGTTTAATAATACATGTTTTCAGAAAGAATGCCAAACTTTGAGACTATGGATGGAGATATGTGTTTGGCAGATAGTGCTACGACGCACACGATAGTCAAAGATAAGAAATATTTCTCCAGTCTCAAAATAAAATTACGCTGGAAGCGTAAGTACAATATCTGGTAATGAAAAGATTATAATAGGCTCTGGATGAGTGAAATTTTCAATGCCAAGGGGGACGATATTTGAAATAAGTAATGCATTATACTCCCCCGAGTCTAATAGAAACTTGTTAAGTTTCAAGGATATCCGAAGAAATGGATACCATATTGAGACTATGTGTAAAGATGGCATTGAATTTCTTTGCATTAAGTCCGAGAGGAAACATATATTGGAAGATTTAAAAATGTAATCCTCTGGACTATATTGTACAAGAATACACATGACTGAATCCTATGCTGTGGTAAACATAAAGTTTACTGATACATTTAAAATCTGGCATGAGAGGCTAGGACATCCTGGTTCAGTCATGATGAGAAAAATAGTGCAAAATTCAAATGGTCATCCGTTGAAAAACGGAAAGATTTTGCAAATGGACGAGTTTACATATAAAGCATGTTCTCAAGGAAAACTTATAACTCGGCCATCACCAGCAAAAGTAGGCAATGAATCACCAATGTTTTTAGAAAGAATACATGGTGATATATGTGGGCCGATCCACCCACCGTGCGGGCCGTTTAAGTATTTCATGGTATTGATTGACGCATCTAGTAGATGGTCAAATGTGTGTCTTTTGACAACACGAAATACGGCTTTTGCAAAGTTCATTGCCCAAATAATAAGGCTGAGAACGCAGTTCTCAGGATATGCCATTAAGAAAGTAAGGCTTGATAATGCTGGTGAATTTACATCGCAAGCCTTTAATGATTATTGTATGTCAGTGGGAATTGATGTAGAACATCCTGATACGTCCTGAATTAGATCACTCAACCGGTAAGGGTTTGATATGAACTCCGAAGAGAACTGATGGATTGAATGACGACACAATGGGTTGCGGAAGGCCCAATGATACTGCCAGGGTGCTTGAATGTCGCCTGATATGACTCACAGGTCCGACAAGGAAGCAAACTCGATCTGTTGCCGGATGTGACGCACCGGTCCAACAAGAAAGAGGATCGAAACTTGGAGATAACCTCACCAAGAAACTAAGAAATGTTCTAAACAAAGA